TTCCTTACCAATTGCAAGTTGATAAGGTGTATGTTTATGATTAGCACTTGGCCTTAGACGGATGAGTGCTGCAGCATGTAAAATTGCATGACCCCAAACGATAACTGGTAGTTTAGTTTTCATAATTAATGGTCTAGCAATATATTGAAAACGTTTGATTAAAGACTTGGCTAAACCATTTTATGTATTCACATGAGGAACAAGATGTTCAACAATAATTTCAATTGACATGCAATAATTATTAAATAATTCAGATGTAAAATCACCAGCATTGTCAAGTCTAATTTTCTTTATAGTGTAATCAAGAAATTGAGCCCTTAGTTTAATTATTTGTGCAAGAAATTTTGCAAATATCATATCACGACTTGACAATAAACATACATATGACCATCTACTAGATGCATAAATTAATACCACAAAGTACCTGAATGGTCCTGACGGTGGATGGATAGGTCCACATATATCACCTTGAATTCTTTCAAGAAATGCAGGTGATTATGTATGAATCTTACCTGGCGAATGCTTTGTTATTAGCTTTCCAAGAGAGCAAGCTTCACATGGTTTATCTCCTTTTGTAAGTTTTAAACCTTTCAATGGATGACCATGGGTACTATCAACTATTTTACGCATCATTATTGAACCAGAGTGACCTAAATGATCATGTCATAAAGTCATCATTTTGGGATCTTCTTTTACTACTAGATTACATTCAACTGCATGTATATAAGTATAATATAATCCAGAAAGAAATTTTGGTAGTTTTTCTAAAGTTTTCTTCTTTCCTAAAACATTAGTACTAATGTTAATATATTTCATATTACCTTCAGCTGCATTTCAGTATCATATCCTTGACGATATATGTCATTAAAACTCAACAAATTTCTCTTTGATTTTGGAGAGTATAAAGCATTATTAATGAAAAAATTTGTTCCATTTGGTAATATGAACATAACATTACTTGTTCCTTCAATCAAATCTGTAGGACCCGAGATTATATTTATTACACATTTAGTAGGACTTATTTCAGTGAAATGTAAATGTCTTCAACATGTTCCATGTCTAACCTTCTTGAAATATAAATAAGATTAAATAGAGAGTAAATCAAAACAACATATTTAACATTATTATTTCAAACATTGGATACATCAAACAACATATAAATACTTAAGTTTGTACATAGTTCAAATATAAATTTAGTACAAGCATATAACACATTATTCAAAAAGTTTCTTAGTCCATTGTTCCTTCAACAAAATCCGCAACCTTAAGACATGTAATATCATTTTCGAGTTCAATTTCATTAAAATTTACTTCCTTCCCCTTTTTCTCTATAGATGGCTTGTTTCTTTTACACAAATGCTCTAGTGTTCTACATGTCTTAGACCAATGACTTTTCTTTCCACATCTATAGTACAAATCACCATGATTCCTCGAGGGACCCTCCTGGATATAAGTACCCCTACCTTGACGATACCTGTTAGTTTGGTCATATTTGAAAAATCTATAATTATTTACATAACTTCGTCCACGACCTCGACAATAAAAGTGGTTTCGACCGTGATATCCTCGACTAGGACCCTCAAAACGAGCATAACCTCCACGTTTTTTTATCATGATTCCTTTGATTAAATGTTGTGACATTTATCTCAGGACATGTTATTGTTCCTATGGGACATGACTGATGATTTTTAATAAGGAGCTCATTATTTTGTTCTGCTACTAGAATAGCTGCAACTAAATTAGAATACTCAGGAAATTCCCTCATTATGTATTGTTGTTGCAACAAAACTTAGGATGCATGAAAAGTTGAAAAAGTTTTTTCCAGTTTTTCTTCTTCAGTTATAACTATGCCACAAATTTCTAATTGTGCTATAATTTGGTGCATGGCAGAGTTATATGCAACAACACTTTTATAATCTTGGAACTTTAATTTGTTCCACTGATCCATTAATGAGGGCAACAAGACTTTCCTTTGATGTCCAAATCTTGCCTTAAGTTTGTCCCTCAAAATGTTAGGATCTTTTGCATTTGAATATTCTATTTGTAAGTCATCGTCAAGGTGGTGTTTGATTATTCGATTTACTTTTGATTTTTTTCATTTTCATCCCTTCTGTGTCAACAACTGACTTTCCTGAAATTTCTCCTTCAAGGATTTTATCAAGTCCCTCACAAGCATGATACTCTATTAAGTTGTTATTCCCAGTTATACTTAAAATTTTGAAGGATGTTTAACATTTGACATGATTCTATCTAGAATTCAAAAGATCATAATCAAAATTTTAATACATAAACAAAAAATATATGTCAATTTATTCAATAACATCGATTACAAAAATCATGATCAAGTTTTATTTAAAAGCCTCTATTAATAAACCAAACTAAGGCTAGTAATAATAAAACAATCAATACCATTAACGCTACATAATCTTTACCTAGTTCTCCATGCTTGATAATACCGATGAGGAATAAAATAATGACAAGTAGAGTGATGAACAAAAGAAAATATTTAGCCATTTGAAAGATATGGATAAATTTTTGAGAATGATATGAAATTTGTGAAAGAAATTGAATTATATATAGATAAATTTGTAAAACGATCGTTATAGTTACCTTAAGGAAAAGAAAAAAAAAAGAAAAAAGAGAAAGAAACAATATCATCAAATCAAATTTAAAGTGTGTTAAATATCAAATAGCTATTACAAGAGTTTATAGATAATTATAAGATAACATATGAGGTTTTAGACCTCCACTAAAAATATAAAAGTTAGTAACTGAATATAAAAATTAGTGACCGAATATAAAAGTTAGAAACCGAATATAAAAGTTAGTAACTGCATATGAAGCTTTAAACCCCCATTAAATATAAAAGTTAGTAACTGAATATAAAAGTTAGTAACAAAATATAAAAGTTAGAAACTGAATATAAAAGTTAGTAACTGAATATGGCGTTTTAAACCTCCATTAAATATAAAAGTTAGTAACTGGATATAAAAGTTAATAACATAATATAAAAGTTAGGAACTGAATATAAAAGTTAGTAACTGCATATGAGTTTAAACCTCCACACAAAATATATAAAAGTCACACTTATTATAGAGCACTTGACAAATTGCCAGCTTTTTATAACAAGGGGGATAAAGTAAAAGTAACGATAAAAGTCATTCTAGTTATAAATCATTTGACTAATTGCTAGTTTTCTATAACCATGGTAAACAATAAAACTTATAGCAATAATGAGATTAAAGTGATAAGTTTAGAAGATATACTTAGTGTAGTAATAACTTCTGATAAAAACCACCGTGTTGATAACGTGGTGAGAAAAACTGATTTTGAATATTTATGAACTAATATAAGTTACTAAACTAGTTGTAACTATTAAACTTAGATGAAAAGATTGAAGAATGGATAATGTTTTACTTGTGCTTTCAAAGTAAATTTTTTTGTGTATTTTTACATTGGCCAAAGGTAACATTTATGCTATTAGAAATACAACTATTACACTCATGTGATAATTGGATTTACTATTTTAACTTTTTGACAAATTATGTATCTATAATAATTTGTCTTACTATTTAGATAGATATTTTTAAATAATAATATATATACTAATGCGTGTAAAATAATTCTATATTGTAATTAATTATAATAGTTAAATATTAGAAAAAATTTTAAATAATCCTAACAAATAATAGTGATAAACAGACCATATAAAACTTTTTATACTAATAATATTCTCATTTAAAAAAAAAAACTATTTTAATGCTGTAACCGCGTCCTACTGTACTACCAGTGAATCTAAATCCTCAAAACTCTAGCTATACTACAGTACTCTGTAAGTTTGTACGAACCGTACCTATAAAAAGAATCTAAAACAAGAGGTTAATTAAGATTTATAGAAACAGAAATATTATTAATTTCACAGAATACAAGACTTTCGTTGTTGGCGTCCATATAAAAATACCACATACGCACTTCACAAACACTTCAAAGTGGACCAAACCAAAACCAAAACAACCTTTGTGTTTTACCATTTGCTCCCATGTTTTTCTCCAATCTCATAACATAACATCCTTATCTTATACTCTTTCAGTTTTATCTCCAGTTCAACTTGGTCAAGTTTTCTTTCAGATCATCTTTCTTAAGGTGAGACAGACTCATTAATTATTGAACTGTTTTCACTTTCCTTATTTATTTCAGTCTGATTTTAATTATCAAGTATTTATTTTTTCTTGCCATGTTGATGATGATGATGGTTATGCTGCATCTGCATCCATCTTGTTTCAGTTATCAGACAAAATAAAAATCGTTTTTTTAATTCTTTTTGGTTTGGTTTTTCTGAGTTTCTGAAATTGGGTTTCTGTTCAAATTGATATTAATGGCTTCTTTCAAGTTTGTGAAATGATTTTTCACCTTTTTTCTGTTTTATGTTTATTGACTTTTTTTTTGTTCTTTGGATTTGCTTTTCAATTTTTGGGGATTAGGGTTTGGGGATTAAATTTCAATGATGGGGGTTTTGAAAAATTTGATCTTTTTACGTTAATTGAGTTGAAGTTATGCAAAAAGTGCGAGAAAATTGTAACTTTGGAGGGTTGGTGTAGTGTGTTAATTGGAATAGCATATTGTGAATATGGGGAATATAGCATCTACCACACTCATTAAAATCATAGTTTTTTAGATTCTGATTAATTTCTTAAGCTTGTTAAAACCACTAAAATTGGTTTATGTTTTCAAAAATGTGATTTTCTCTGGAAATAAGTAGGAACAGTTATGTTTTCAGATATTGTATTTGTCTAACTGTTTTCTTTCCTCATGCAGAATACCCGTGTTTTCGTATACCCGTGTAGCTAAAAAAGTTTGAATTCATCATTCGCGGACAACCAAGTTAGTTACTGACGTATCTTGTTCTGAAAAAAGAAAGGCTATTGGAAAATTTCTAGGGTGTTTGTGCTTGAAAATCAATCGGGAGTGCTCGTGTGTATTGAAGAACTTGTTACTTCTCAATGCAAACATCACAAACATCACAGAAACATGAAATTTCTTACGGCTCTGACAGGTTCTATGTTGAGCCTGTGCAGAATATCTCAGGTGAGAATCTTGACAACTATTCTTCCTCCGATAACAGCAGTCCAGCATTCTATCCTTCTCATCAGGATCTAGAACCGTTAAGTGCCCACGAATCTGCTTCAACGAGTAATAACAGTTTTCCTTACCAAAATTCTTTGACTACTCTCAGTTTCTCTCGGAACAATAGTTGTCTGGTGTCGAAGCTGGAGTCAAATTCACACGTGATAAGCCAACAAAATTCTCTTGAATTTGTTTATGGTTCACCTCAGGACGACGATTCTTACTTGACACAACATGATTTTGATGACCTCAGGCATAAGATACAAGAGCTCAAATCTGTTATGCTCGGACCGAACGCGGATATGCTAGATTTGTACGATACTGAAATTCGAGAAGAGTCTGGTTTGTTGTCGTTAGAGGCGGAAAACTGGAAGAGAAATGTTGAGATGGTATCTCGAGGGGACTTGAAAGAAATGCTTTATACTTGTGCAAAAGCAGTCGCTGTGAATGATACGGACACAATTGAATGGATGGTTACCGAGTTACGCAAAATCGTATCCATTTCTGGAAGTCCAATCCAACGATTGGGAGCGTACATGTTGGAGGCTCTTGTTTCTCGGATGGCTTCTTCCGGAAGTACAATCTACAAATCATTGAAATGTAGCGAGCCCACTGGTAATGAACTACTTTCCTACATGCATGTACTTTATGAAGTATGTCCGTACTTTAAGTTTGGGTATATGTCGGCAAATGGAGCAATCGCTGAAGCTATGAAGGACGAAAGCGAAATACACATAATTGATTTTCAGATTTCACAAGGAACGCAGTGGGTGAGCCTAATTCAGGCTCTTGCTCGCCGGCCTGAAGGACCCCCGAAGATCCGAATAACAGGTATTGATGACTCGTTTTCAGCTTACGCCCGCGGCGGGCGCGTTGATATAGTCGGGGAAAGGTTATCGGCACTTGCCCAGTCATGTCATGTTCCTTTCGAGTTCCATGCTGTTAGAGTTCCTGCTTCCGAGGTCCAACTCGAAGACTTCGAACTTCGACCTTATGAAGCCGTGGCGGTGAATTTTGCCATTATGCTACACCATGTACCAGACGAAACTGTGAACATTCACAATCATCGTGACAGGATATTGCATTTGGCTAAATATTTCGCTCCTAAGGTGGTGACTCTAGTCGAGCAAGAATTCAACACCAACAATGCCCCATTCTTGCAGCGTTTTGTCGAGACAATGAACTACTACTCAGCTGTCTACGAATCAATCGACGTCGTTCTTCCAAGGGATCACAAAGAGAGGATTAACGTCGAACAGCACTGTTTAGCTCGAGAAGTTGTCAACTTAGTAGCCTGCGAAGGGGAAGAAAGAGTGGAACGTCACGAGCTTCTAACTAAGTGGAAAACTCGTTTCGCAAGGGCTGGATTCACGCCTTATCCGTTGAGCTCATTCATCAACTCTTCAATCAAGGATCTTCTCGATAGCTACCGCGGACATTACACTCTTGAAGAGAGAGATGGAGCGCTGTATCTTGGTTGGATGTATCAAACTCTCATTGCTTCTTGTGCTTGGAGTTGAAGAATCTAATGACAGTTCAGTTTTGTTAATGCAGGTTTTTGTGTTAGCCTATGTATCATTCTCCTATGTAGATTTTTATCTTTTTTATTAGTCAAATAACACTGTTTTGTAAAAGAGAATCCTAAAACTTTGTCGCAAATAGTAGTAACAGCATAATGGATTATATAGTTATATATGTTGAATTTGTGTATCCCATGTGCTTTATAGAACATATATTTTCTCAATAGATATTAAAAATAAGGATAGTGACAATTTATACCTAGAAATTATTGACAAATTTTAGGGACTTAGTTACACTTTTTAGTTTAAAAACTTATTAAAACTTCCTGTATAGTTGAGAGACTTTAGAACAGTGATTTCAAAAAGTGACATTTAAAACGGAACGGAGGAAATATTATTTTATAAGAAGGAATAATCTCTTTCATAATTATTAGGAGAGAGAAATTAAAAGAGTTGAAAGAATAAATAATAATAAATATTTAAGAGTATATCAAGGAAAATATTATTGTATTAGAAATATAAGATGATTTATAATTTCGGACAAATCTTTTTAACAAAATGGCTTATAATTTAGGACTGACATAATATCACTTACATTTCTTTTTTAGAGTCAAATTTCGACGCTATATATCAATATTTAATAAATTTAACCCTATGACTTAACAGACCAACCAGTATTTTGAGAGACATTTTTTAAGACTTTAAAATAGCTAAAAAAAATTTAGAAATCTGTGCATTTAATGCATTAGAAATTAAAATTGTTGATTTTTCTATAAAATATTTTATTTATTTGTGTTGAATAAATGTTTTTAAAGTAAAATTGTAGTTGTTAGTGATATTTTTATTTAAAAGTTAAAAAATAGAAAATCACTAATGTCGTATCAATGAATTTATACAACAAGAAAATCAAATCTGATATGTTACAAGTTGGATTAGATATGTCCATACAGAACAATTTATGACCATTTTTTATTGCATTCTATATATTTTTTAGGCACTGTGCACTATTTTAAAAATATTTTTAATTTTTTAAAATATATCATCCTTATCTTATAATACATATATTTCACTCGTTTTTAAGTTAAACTCAAATTTTATGAATAAATTTATTTCAAAAACATTTTTTTAAAAAATTTCCGAAAATATATTTATAGAAACATTTAATATTAACTTTTTAATGCACTTGCATTGCAACACCCTATATTAATTAAATAACATTTTATTGAATAATTACTTAGTATTTATATTAATTTAGTATGAAATAATAGTTATAGAAAATTAGTAGTTACTTAGTATTAATTAATAACTTAGTATTTATGTTAAATTTTAATATGAAATAATAGTTATATTAATTACTTAGTATAAAAAATTACAATAACTTAAGTAAAATTATTTTAAATATTAAGTTACAATAACCTATTGCACCCTGTTAAGTTATCTGTATAAAATATTAGTTTTAAATAAACTTATATTAACTAAATAAAAAAATTGTTTAATATACAATAATTTAATAACTAAATAAAATTTTATTTAATTAATATGTTTTTATTTAAAATTTTGATAATATAAAATTATTTATTAAGATATTTTATTCAGTTTTATCCAATACTTCTTTTAATCAATATAATATAATTGGATAACTATTATTTCATATTAAATCAATATAAATATTAAGTAATTAATGAATAAAATATTATTTAGTAAACATAAGGTCATGCGTCCATGTAAAGAAATTTACATTAAATATTTAGGAAATATATTTTTAAATTTTTTTTAGAGATATACTTATAGAATAAATTCATTCATAAAATTTGAGTTTGACTAAAAATAAATGAAATGTGTGTATTATAGTACGTCTGAAAATGTAGAATAACAATGGTGATAATTTATATATTGATTTGATTTGAACTGTTTGGACTAAAGTTAAAGTCTCAATTATCATTTTAATCTATTTAACTTAGAATTAATTATCCGTTGAAAATACCTTATCTCCTATTTTTTTCCGTCGCTTTAAAATATATACTTTATTTTGCATAAATAATTCAAATAATTTCTCATTTTTATATGAAAATATTTAAAATATCATTTGCATATATAGATAATTAATTTTTATTCTTTATATTCTAAAATATTTAAAGATATTAATTAAAAATAGGCAAAATACTTTTTTAGTCTTTTAAGTTATTTTAAAATAACAAGTTAATCCTTTAAGTTATTTGCATCGTTAACCTTTTTAAAATTTTCCGTTCTAAAAAACCCAATGTGACACAGACGGTGATGAAATGACAGGTAGTGTTGATGAGTGTCATGGAGGGTTGTTGATGTGGAATTTGTGTTATCCCTGAAGTGTTTAAGCAATGACTCTTACAGATTAAGAGTAACAGAACCCTAATTTTCTTTCCCCCATTGTTGATTGTTATGGCTAGTGAAGCTTCTTCCTCTTGCGTTCATTGTACATTGAAGGTGAAGAATCCATTGCGCTCATGATGCAGTTAGGTACGTATATTTAGTCAATGATGGTTATTTTTTTGTGTTTTTCTGTAGTGTATTTGAATAGTTATGTTACGCACAGTTACACACACCTGCGTCATATCAATATTATGTTGATGGTTAGGTTAATGTTGGTTATAAGTAATGTTAGTTTCTATTATAGGGTATGTGAAATTCTGGCTAGCACACGATGGATGTTATCACGGATGTTATGACATCCACTGTAACACAAACTATTGGAGTAATTAAAATGCTGTAAAGAGAAAGTAGTAAATAACACAATAATTGTTTACCCAGTTCAGTGTCAACAACACTTACATCTGGGGGCTACCAAGCCAGGGAGGAAATTCACTATCAGCAGAATTAGTTCAGAGTCAAACCTCCAGTTTACACTCCTCACTTAAAACCTACCCAATGACACTTCAACCTAGAGACACTCTAGACCTGAGTATGCCCACTCACTCCCCTTCAATCACACCACAGCGATATCAATACACAATTACTAATGACTGTTGAAGTTATACTTCAAACACACCTTGATCGTGCTTCACAGCTTTGATCAAGAACACACCACTCTTGCTTAACAGCTTTGAGTGTTACACCAGCTTAGAAACTACCTAACCAATGCAATTATACAGCAGACAATTGCTTGGTGAACAAGTATTCCTAAGCCACAATACAAACGTGAAGAACAATCTTCTTCACTCACAAGGACTCTCTATACGCACTCTCTAATCTTCTGTCAAGAGCTGCTCTTCTAGGATTGCTTCTTCTGTTTTTATAACAGCATTCAGTCCTTGGGCCCGGGTGCATAACTTAGGTTTAACCATAATAAATCTTTCTTCAATAATTTGCACGCTTGCCATTTAATTCAAGAACATTTTGTTTCACTTTAGGGCTTTTAAAATGTCTCCTGTCTTTCAGCTTGAGCTTCTAATACGTTTCCTGATTTCTAGCTACCAGAAAAACTAATATGCTCGCTGGATATCATACGATCAGAGTCATGACATTCTGTATGACATTCAACTTAACTAACATTTAGCTAAGTTAACTTACCCTGCAAAATCTATATTATGTATGTAATAACACCAGTCATGACATACATACATACTCTAATGTTTTGCCACAAAATGCAGCCAATCAAGAGCACTTACAAACTCCCCATTTGGCAAATTTTTGGCTAAAACACTCTGCTATAATACCAGAGATTTACATGCAGCAGAAGACTTATCACATGTCCAGTCATGTAGAAAAGTTACTAGCTAAACAAACTCTCAGAGTTATCTTCATGGCCCTCACAGTTAGCTCTTAGCTTCTCAGGATCAACATGTCACTCACTATAACCATCTGTTAGTAAGCACTATAGATGTCACACTATACTGAGTAACATTCTGGGTTACTCCCCTCAACTGATGCATTTTATGCATATCCTCTCAGCTGAGCACACAACCTGCACACAGTCCTGCAGTCCCACATAAAAACATCCAGCCTGTTCTGGATGTCCAGACATTCAGAATAACTTCCTGAAGTCACACATTCCTGTGCTACTCCCCCTGAAGAGATGCACTACACTCACATTCTGCTACTATCCTGTAGACACACACATACACTCCCAAGCAGAAGCTGGGAGCTCACATAGCTAACATACATTCCTACCCAAACTAGAAATTCACACAACACTACAACACTAACAGCATAAACTGTTGTCACACCTGCAAGTAAACATCTTCACCACAACTGCTCATTAGCAACTCAGCATCTGCTTATTAGCATCAACTCAGCCAATTCTTCAACCTGTGCTTCAACCTGTTGTTGTCTATCAATACTCTCTCCCCCTTTTTAGCCACAAATTAAGATCCAACTAATAAACTAGCATAGATCGTAATGTGTAACATTACAAAAGTTTGGGAATTACAAAAAAAATTCTCATTAAGAGCATCACAAGTGTTGTCACAAAAACAAACAAAAAAAACTCAACCAGCAAAGTTCAAAACAGCAGCACATCTTCTTCATCAGCTCAGCAACCAGCAACCTGAGCTCCACAGCAGTCTAGCAAGACATCAATCTTCCTCCTTAGAGGCAGAACTGGAAATTACCTCCTCAGATTCTGCATCACTAGCCTCTTTAGCATCTGGGGATTCATCTGTATCCTTGTCCTCTTCTTGACCAGAGCTTTCCTCAGAGCTGGCAGCATCCTTTTCTGAATCAGTTGCCTGGGCATCCTTATCAGTGAACTCAGCATCTTCATTTTTCTCAAGGGTGCGGATCAATGCTTCAAGATTTTTCTTCCTAGCATCCAGCTCCTTACAAGTTTCCTTTAGCATGGCAATCACTTTAGTTTTTCTTGTCTTGGGGCTCCCTTTAGATGTGTCAGTGGATGTCATGACAAGGTCAGGAACATGAGTTCCTTAAAACAGCTTGGGATGGAAGGATAAAGGGCTTTCTCTTTTGCTTGCATCATCACTTTTCTTGAGGATCCCAGGATATTGGCTTAGAATGATTTCACAGAT